GAAGGCAACAGGTAACTAGTGTGTGCTCACTAACTAGAAGGCAACAGATAACTGTTGTAAGGAGACCACTTGCTGGTTCCTGGCTCCTCAGCCCCAAAATAATCACCAGAAACCATATTACTTAAATCACTGCTTGGCCCATTAGCTCTAGCTTCTTATTGGCTAACTCTTACATACTAATTTAACCCATTTCTAGTAATCTGTGTATCGCCACATGGCTGTGGCTTATCGGCTAAAGTTCTAATGTCTGTCTCCGGCGGGGTTACATGGTTTCTCACTGATTCTGCCTTTTCTTTCTCCCAGCATTCAGTTTAGTTTTCCCCACCTACCTAAGTTCTGCCCTATCAACAGGCCAAGGTAGTTTCTCTATTCACCAATGATATTCATAGCATACAGAGGGAAATCCCACATCATCTCTCCTTTTCTGTTTAAATGAAAAGGAAGGTTTTAACTTTAACATAGTAAAGTTACATATTACAAAACAGGTATCAAGCAAAAATTATAGTTACAACATTTATATCTACTTTATCTTTTATCATGACTAAAGAAAACTATATAACTACAAATTCTTCAACTCAAAGACTCCAGAAGGATATAATATTACCCAAATAAACAGGAAGTACATTGTAAGCAACTTCCAAAATTCTAGAATTGACAGAGACATCTTACTGCCTAGGCAGTCACCCAAAGTTCTTTTGAAGTTTCTTGCCAAATGGTCAACCAACTCCATAAGGAGCCTCTTCAATGCCCATCTTTCTCTTGAAGTAGATTGGTGCTGCGAGGAACAGATGTGTCTCATTATCATGAAAAGTCCTAACTATATGATGTTACAAATAAAAAAAATTACCTAAGGGGTTGAGGAAGGGGTCTCTGGGGATGTGTTCTGAGATGCTATGAATATTGCTATTTGAACTGAGTAACTAAGTAAAAAAGAAAAATGTGTTCACTAGGTAATAACTCAGTGAGCAACAACTTCCAGTCCAGGTTTTGTAAGCATGGTATTAGCAACAAAAAAGGTTAGGAGGAAATGGCATTTACTTGTCATTTAGAACAAAAATGCCACAAGAGCAAAGATCCTCCTTAGTCCTTTCAGTGTCCTTTCACACTTAGAACAGAGTTGGCAAAAGGGGGGGAGGGGAAAGAGAGGGAAACTGTGGTTATTAAATGAGACACAGGGTCTCATCGTGTTGCTCTAGCCAGCCTAGAGTTCGCTTATGTAGATCAGGCTTGCCTAGAACTCCAAGAGTTCCGCCTGCCCCTGCTTCCCAGTGCTACCACGCCGGGCTATTTCCCCCTTAAACTGTGAGTGCTGTTCCACCTGCAAGCGCAGCTCAGCCACTTTCTCAGGAAGCCACATTCAGGCAGCTGGAGCATCACTACAGAAGTCAACCGCCGAGTCCCAAGCTGCTCTCTTTTCGGGCCGAGGGACCCTCGGGACTACCGACCTCTGGCTCGGGAGGGACAGACCCGCCAGACGGCGAGGACAGGATCGACCCGGTCACTCCCACCAGGCCGCGTCACCACTGCAGGACGGCAGCACACCGAGGGCCCCGGGGCTGGGCGAGGCCTTGTGATAAGCCCCCGCGTCGACGTTCGCGCCGGCTGTCAGCACCTCCCCAAGCCGGCCGGCTCCAGACCGCCGCAACCCCAGGCTCTTACCAGCCACCGGACTCCGGAATTGGCGCCTGTAGAGAACCAGCAGAAGCGCCTGCGCACTCACCGCCCGCGGAGCAGGCGCGCTTCCGTCGTCCCTCACGGGAGCGAGCCCGTAAGACGAGGGGGCATGGTGGTGGGCGGGGCTATGCGGGGCGGGGTGGGGCTGCCGCCTTTCGGGAGGCGAGGTCCAAGTCCTGGAACCCGAGAAGTTTGGCGGCCGGGGTTAGGTCAGGGGCAGGTGGAAAGCCCCTTGCTCTTCTTTCCCGGGATCGCGGCCAAGGCCCGAGCGGCTGCTTAGCCCATGGATTCCTGTGAGGGGCGGCTCCTGCCCGCTTCGCAGTGGCGAGCACTTGGCCAGTCCTCACTCCAGGCGGCAGGTCTTCCTTCTGGGCCAGTGCCCTCCAGCAGCCACCAAGCCAGCCTAATTTCTTGGAGCTAAGCAAACACCACTGCTTAGTCAGGCTGGAAGTCGCTTCTAGTGAGAAACCATTTCTAGAGCCTCTGAGTTGAGCCTATGAGAAACACTAGCTTGAGATTGTCACACGTGGTGACAATATCAGCCCCAGGGAGGCTAAGGCAAGAGGATCAGGAGTTAGAGGTCAGCCTGAGCTACATAGCAAGACCCTGTCCCCGAGCCGCTGAAAAAACAGCTCCGTCCCAGAATAGACACTGCATGCCCCATCAGGCAACTTGAATCGCCTATTCCCACATTTGCCAAAAATAATATTCCCCAGTTTCCCTCATACCCTGCTGCTGAACTGTCCCATTCTGTAGACACCAACTCCGATATAAGTAAAAACAAATATTTGGCTATTGCTAGGACTACTTTGTTTGTTGGGGGGGGGGTGTGTGTGTGTGTGTGTGTGTGTGTGTGTGTGTGTGTGCTGATATGCGTACCTGTGTGGGTGCCAAAGGTCGATGCTGATATCTTCCTCGATCCATCACCACCTTATTTTTGAGATAGCATCTCTCACTCAATCTGGAGCTCACCTGTTTGACTATACTGACTGACTGGCCAGTGAACTCTAGGTATGTCTGCCTATCTTTGCAACCAGCTTCCCCGGGAGTCTTGGCTTACATGAGATCCTGTCTCACAAGAAAAAAAAAAAAATACCTTGGAAATATGACAAGCTATAACCAATCCCTGCTCTCATTAAATTTAATTTTCTTTGGAAAGCATTTCCATGCCAAAAAAAAAAAAGCAGTAGAAGGAAATGCATGCTGTCACATTAGTGGTGTGCACATTCCATTACAGCCCACAGGAGTTGAGACAAGACTTGGGCTCCGTGTAAACCATCAGCTATCAGGACATGCTTCTTCCCGGATGAGCCACCTTGGCTTTGAAAGAAAAACCAGACACCAAGAGCATGGGTGTCTGAATCTAGACAAGGGAAACGGTTGACACCAAAATCATGGCAGCTGAAAAAGTACAGAACATTTCTCCCCGCTTACACGGCGGTTGATGACAGAGAAGAGCTGGAGAAGCTCCGAGCTGCAGGCTGTGGTGTTACAATCACGCGGTGGTCAGTAAGGGCCCCTGAAGTGACATTTCGCAGGGAGTCAAGTGTATACAGCGCTGGGCTAGAGGAAACTTAAACTGGTGATAATGGGTTCGATGAGTCAGAGGGAAAGGTTCACAGCCAGCCCAGGGTGAGAAGTAGAAAGGGTCAATGCAGCAGGGCCTGTGTCCAGGTCTTTGTAACACACTAAGTGGGCAGAAGCAGAGTGAAAAGGAAGGAAGGCTATGGGATGGTGCCCAAGGTTTCGAACTGGGAAGCTAGGAGCTTCCTTGGAGAAGATGCTAGCTACACAATAATGACTTTGATGTAACATCAACTTGACAAAATAGGAATACTTGGGTGCCAGTTGTGAATCAGAACCCAGGAAAGAGCCTGGGGCTAAAGATAGATGAAGTGTTTTTATTTGCTGAAGAATGAGGAGCTAGTGGAGGAGGAAAGTGAACAATTGCACGTAAGTGACGTCTGTTTAACCCACGAGGAGGGAGCTGAACCAAGGAAGTCTATAGCGCACATACACATGTTATGCAAAGTCCAGCTCGTCCCCAGCATGCCTTCATATCCGGCTCACCCACAAGCTATGCCTGCCTTTTGCAGTCGCCATCTCTCCACTCAGATGTAGCAGTTGACTACAGGCTTCCTAACTTGTCTGTTCCTTGGTATCAGGCTCTTGGGATAGCTCAGTCTCAATCAATAGGGTCCCTCTCAATCTGCCACCCAGACATAGGCCTCCAAGACGAAGAAATGACGAAATAAACCTGTTGTCATCTGCTAACCCATGCCAAAAGCATCACTGTGTCACAAGAGCCCCAAAGACATTTGAGGCTTGCAGGGAACTGTGGACTTGTCCTGTGGATAGGACTGCTGGATTCTCACCAGGGCCATCTGGTTTACCTTTTGGATGAGGTTTCTACTTCCCCTCCCCATGCCAGGAGCTGTACAGCCCATCTCTGTGCTGCTTGCTGATTAATGCCCAGTTGACTTTATGTTTCCTTTCACTATTCAACTGTCTTTTCACACACTTCATGAAGTGTATGTGAGTGGGTGTGTATGTGGGGGGTAAGTGTGTGTATGTGTGGTATGTGTGAGTATGAATGTGTGATATATGTTTGGGATAGGTATGTGTGTGTATGTATGTGGTGTGGGTGTACATCTGGGGGTTAATGCAGGCTGAGTGTGTGTGTATGTGTAAGGTTTGGGGGGTGAGTATGTGTGGGGTAGGGGGCGGGTGAGTGTGTGTGTGTGTGTGTGTGTATGCCCTTCAGAGGGCAATGGGAGAAAGAAGTTGCTCTAATAGATTGTCTTGGGTGCCAGTTGTAAATCAGAACCCAGGAAAGGAGCTGAAGCTAAAGATAGATGAAGTGTTTTTATTTGCTTTTATTTGAAGTGATTGCTACTGGTTAGTTGGTCAGTTTTCAGGATTTTGTTTGTCTTTTTCGCTCCTGTGTTTATGTGGTTCCCCATTTATATATTCTTATTATTATTTTTAAACCATTTTCACATTTAATAACTGAAAACAATAATAAATACCTTCAACATGTAAATGAATTGTAGAATGAATAATAAAAACCCAGAGACAGATAATGGGATTCAACCTGAAGGTTAGAAAAACAAAGCAGCCAAGCGACTGAAGAGCTCTTACCTCTATGAAATTATCAGACTGAAAAGAAAGCGAGTTCCTGTCTCATCCCACCTTATATTCCTCTCTAGTGCTAGAATTAAAGGTGTGCACCACCATTGCTGAGCCTCTATGGCTAACTAGTGTGGCTGTTGGGATTAAAGGCATGCGCCACCACTGCCTGGCCTGTATGACTGACTAGTGTGGCTGTTTTGTGTTCTGGTCTTCAGGCAAGCTTTATTTATTAAAATACAAATGAAAGATTACTACAATGAATAAACTTTGTTATACTTAGAATACTATTAGCAAAACAAATCAGTAACACACACAAACCCAGATTAGGGTCACAATTATTATTTCTGGTGAAAGGAGCCACAAAAGAGGAGGTATTGTAAAAATCCATTTACATTTCTAGAAATGATACACTCTATGGTGGCAAAGATCAGTCCTGTCCTGGGCTGTGGAGAGGCAGTGCGGAAGAAGACCATGTCAATGAGCACAAAGAAATAATTGTGAGTGACCTGTGTGTGTGTGTTTTTTTTTTTTCTGATAACAGCTTTGCAAATCTGCTTAGAGCAATGTTATCAAATTGTGTGTTTAAAGTGTATGCAGTCCATTCTATACCAAGTATATTTTAATAGAGCCATTAAAAAATTCAGGCACAGGAACAGCGATCCAAGAACGAAAAGCCTAGACCAGCATGGTGTCTCCTAGAAAGTCCCCTATATCCCTTGAGTCAGGGACAAGTCTGGTTCAGCAGATTGCTGCCGTGATAAGGTTGCTTCTTCCACACTCAACCAAAGAAGTGACGAGGAAAGTCAATCAGAAACAGATTAAAAATCACCCACGTTTTTCTGTATATACCTTTTTGAGAGGGGGGTGCTGAGGCAATAATGAGGGGAGGGAGAAAGTCTACACAAAGCAGGGGCAGCCTGCCAAGTTCAGTGATGGTGAACACTGCTACCGAGCTAGTCAGTCTAGTGAGCAGCCGATCAGGAGAGGGGCAGGTAGTCTACTGTCCTCGCCCCTTGTTCAGCGTTCTTGCTGTGTCTAAATAGCAAAGTGTTAGACCAACAGAGGTAGCTGCAGGGCATCGGCTGTCCCTTCAGTTCATCTGTGGAGTTGCATGCTCTCAACTTGCGGCTTTGAGTGGATATGCCAAGCCCAGTTCCCTCTGTTCGATGGAGCTACAGATCTCATAAACACCAGTGTGCTGGGAGCGAAACAGGCAAAACGATGAGGTGTATTCCCGGAGCCAGCCAGTCTGGCGGTGATTCCAAAGGGAGAAGTTGTGAGTGTAGCAATGTGCAAAGCACCTGGGCTTGTGACAGGTGTGCCAAAGGCAAACCAGGTGACTTCATGCCTCTCGTCCTGAATACCTTGTGCTGCCACCTGTAGGCTGGACTTAAAGAGGTTATGATGACGACTGTTGCTGAAGCGGCCAGGTCCCTCACAAAGAGCCATAATCCAGGTGCTTATTCAGTACCCCAGACGACCGTGGAGGGATGGCTCTACTATGAAACACGTGACTGCAACTTTCAGTTGACCCCGAAATTTACTGTACGTGGTAGAGGCAATATGCTCATGGGTTGGTAGACTCCCAAAACCAAGAGGTATGATATGGCACAAAAAAT